AAACCCCCCAAACCAAATAAACTAAAAAGAAAAGGAACAGAAATATAAAAAGGAGTAATCCCACAAAATACATAATTTTAATAGCTAGCAGCCTAGTGCTATGGAAATCTTGACTGGTGAAGAGCATAGCATGGATCCAATATTAGTTTCACATCTCATTCTTGGGTGGGTAAAAGTTCATAGCATCTAAGTTGAGATACTGATCTATGCCAGCCTGCTGTTCCATTTCTGACAGATAAAAGTAATTGGTAGTTTGTCCCAATTGCATATTATAATGCTCTTCTTGAGCCTTGGCAAGTTCCTTAAGCCTCCTCAATTCAAGTTTCATCTCTTCAATTTGCACTGCAACAACATGAAAACCCTCTTTCTCACTTTTCGTGCACTTCAATATTATAGAAAATTCTTTTACGGAATAATAGTAATAATAATAATAACAATAATAAAAAGATCGTTATGGGGTGATTAATAAGGTGGGTGTGGCCCCTGTTGAGAACAAAATGTCGGAAGCGCGGCTTAGGTGGTTTGGTCATATGAGGAGGAGGAGCACAGACGCCCCGGTGAGGAGGTGTGATAGGTTGACATCGGAGGGCCTACGTAGAGGTAGAGGTGGGGAGAGGTGAATAGGCAAGACATGGCGCAACTTCAGCTGACCGAGGATATGACTCTTGATAGGAAAGTATGGAGGTCGAGTATTAGGGTAGTAGAGTAATAGTCTAAAGTGTTCATAACAATAGGATTGACATGCCGTCTCGCTTTCTGTTGATAGTAGGATTTTATGACTAATCATTGTTTTCTTTCATTGTGGATCATCTTACTGTCTTGCTATTTTTATTCTGCTTTTATATGGCTTTTTGGTATTGTCCCTTCTTGCCTATATTTTCATTAATGTGGTGTTTATGCTATCCTGAGTCGAGGGTCTATTGGAAACAGCCTCTCTATCCTCACAAGGTAGGGGTAAGGTCTGCGTATACACTATCCTCCCCAGACCCCACGATGTGGGATAATACTGGGTATATTGTTTTTATTGTATGGGTTGATTAATAATGTAAGAATTGGTATACAGTGAATACTAGTATATATATTTTAGGGAATCTTATCTAGGAATTACTTACTTTAAAAACAGTTTTGTCTTCAAATAATTCCTTTTCATGTATTGTCACCTATTCTTATTACACATTTTATTATGGCTAAAGTAATATTTAGATTCCAGCATAATGCTTGTATAGTTCATGAATACTACCATTCTACCAACCAAAAGTCGCATTAGTTAAGCGAGGAATATAATTTTTAATAGAGCTAAGCAAATTCGTATAGTATTAATTATGCAAAAATTATTTTTTCAATACTTCTAACAAAACGCTACATTATTTTATGCGAAGATTTAAATTTAAATTATTTTTCTTAATCCTCCAATCAAACAACACGTTAGTTTATATTTATTTTTTTCCTTTTTCTTACTTAAAGAAAAAAGACAGTACTAGAATTGTGTTTTGGGGGAGAGGGTTAGGAGATATATATATATATACCTGTGCGTAGCTTGGATCTATCAGTGAAGGTATCCAACTGTTCTTGCAAATATTTTCTCTGCATCCTCAACATTGATTGCTTTTCTTTGTAATTTTCTATTTCTGGTGACAGATAAGCTATGGTATCCTGCACCCAACATTGTAAACAAAATGTTAGTGGTAACGAAGGCAGAGGCAGATTCAAGATTTAAGTTTATTGGGTTCAACATCTAATCTCTTAGCATTGAATTTATTTTACTTTTAAAGTTACGAATTCTAATTTAACATTTGCCAGATTTTAGTAATTTTTACGTTATAACTTTATACACAAAGTTGAAAGTTCTGCACATAAATGAACTCGGGGACGAAAAATTACATACATCCAACCCTGATGGACGTGGATGCTCTTGAAGAAAGTGTGTCATTCCTTAGTCGAATTTATTTATATTTATTTACTTGTGGGGAAAACATAAAAAAATTATAAATATAAGATTGATTTTTAATTTGAGGGGAAAACATAAAAAAAAAAAAAAAAAAAAAAAAAAAAAAAAAAAAAAATATAAGATTGATAAGAAAGTGCGCATGGTCTCGTGCGCATTGTATTTCTCGTTTAACAAATGAGGCTTCAAATGACGTTTTAAGACTCATTTGTTCTTTAAAAGAAATAACAATCCTAAAATTACTAATCAATGAATTCGAATCCGCGACACTGATTTTGAAATTAAATCAACATGACCACTTAGATATGTCCGAGTTAATTTTATCCATGGTCATTGAATTTTTGTGTTTGTTATCCAAAAGTCTTTTTTTTTTTTGTTACGTAAAAATCATTCAATTTTGTGTTCAACAAAAGTAACTTTTCTTTCTTTTGTTACACAAAAATTATTTTACTTTGCTCTAATTATCATAAAAGTCACTTTTTACTTGAAAAGTCTATTATGCCCTTGATATTACATAAACCTTCATATTTATATAATACCTTCTATATTATACACTATATAATATATTTTTAACTATGTATTTTATTTCAAAATAAAATAACTTAATATTATTTTATTTATTATTTTTATAATATATTCGTATATTTAATTTTTTCGTAACGTTAATTTTTAAAATATATTAGTAGTGTTATTAAATTTATCAGTAACTTTAATATATATTAGTAGAGAAATAAATCGGCAAGTACATTTCCGTGAGAAAATTCGCAGATAAACAAACAAAGAAAATGAGGAACAAATCATATGTTAATCTGAAGGAAAATCCCGAGGTACTACATGTGAATTTAGCTGGGGATATTTTCTTGGGAATTTACTTGGGCAATTGATTATTTGAGAAATTACACTACTAGAAATTCGTGAAAAACCGTCAAAAAACTTGACCAAAATTGGTTGGTAATGGCCAATAACCATCCAAAACGCGACCATTAACGTGTGGTCGGTATTTTGAATGTCGGAAGGGCATACCGACCAAAGTTGGTCGGTAATTTCCGACCAACTTTGGTCGGTCAATTAAATACAAAAAAAAAAGGAATTGCTGAAACAAAAAGTTGTTTTTAACGCTACTAATATATCTTGATAATTAAAGTTAAGAAAAAATTAAGGGAAAATGCATAAGTATCCCCTGACCTATATCCGGATTCCCAGCTACAAACTTTATTTTTGCGGGAATCCTATTACCTTCCCCCCCTAAACTATTTTAAAGTAGAATTATTTGCACCCTTAACGTTGACGTGGCAGATTGTGTGTATTTCACTCTCCCAAAGGAGAGTGAGAAGCAAGAAAAAACGATTTTGAGATTATTATTTATTTATTTTTTACTATTTTTTCTTACCTTTTTTTTTCTTTTTCTTTGTCTTTTTTCGTTTCTTCTCTAATTCCGGCGAATTTTCATTCACAGGTGACTTTGTCTAACCGTTTTTCTTTCATTTATTCTGTTTTTTCTTTTTTCCTCTTTTTACCCTTTTCACACTCAAATTAAACTCTCAAAAAGATCTATTCATAAGCAAAGTAAAATACACTCAGATTTGGCGAAAAAAATTCATCATCAGAAAACCTTTCCATGTCAGAAAAAATTGATGTATTGAAATTTTAACTGGAAAAAAATCTTCTCAGCTTATATTCATTTTTATTTCTTTTGCTCTTCCTCCCACACATAATTTATACATTCAACAAAAATTTATA